AACCGACTGAGCCACCTAGGTGCCCCTTTAAGATTTTTATTTTTAAGTAATGTCTACACCCAACAGGAGGCTCAGACTAACAACCCTGAGATCAAGAGTCACATCTTCTACCGACTGAATCAGCCAGCTGCCTCACCAGAATTTTTTATCTGGCAAAATACAGTAAGATCTTTTTACTTGGGATTCCTGATATACCATTAACCTCCCAAGAAAGTGGGCACATTTCTACGATTTTATTTAAGAAACTGCCATAAATGTCTTTTGTTATGTAATTTGATACATATAAAACATTACATTGCAACATCCATGTAATTTATGAAATGCAGGACTGCCTGCATTTTCTAGAATAGTAGCGCTCTCATATCACTGATTCATTGTTGACCTTTTCTCTACGCATTCAAGTCATTCAAAACATTTACTTTTCTAATATATTTCAGCTCTTTTTTTTCATGATTCTCTTCTCATTTAGGTTTCTTAATCTTCTTCTTTTTAAAGTTCAACTTAGAGATTTCAGTAATATTGGACCAAACTTATGAGTAGATGGAGTGGCCACCACATGATTTAAAGGGGCATTCTGCAATGCCCCTTGTGGAACTGAGGCAGGGCTTTATTTCTTTCTGGTAAAATATTGACCCTTGAATTCCCTTTTTGAAAATGCAAATAAGTCCAGGGTGATATAGTCCAATACCTCTTTCCCTTTCAGTGTGGGTGTTTTTGTGCCAGTGAATCAACGTAGAGATCTTAGAAGCCAAAGGTTTACCTGGGGATCCTGAGGACCGATTCGGGAAACACTAAAAAGTTTTGATTCAGGATCTATCTGGCCAATTACCTGTCTCTTCCCATCAGTCGCGATGGATAGACAATACTATGCTATGTGGGCAGTAAGTCACCCCAGGTTCCATTCAGCTGGAGGGTAAGAGCCCAGAGGGAAGGGGGTCCTTTAAGAAAGACAAAATGCAATAGGCAGCACAGGTCACCCTTCAGATTTCTTCTGCCAGACAAGGCCGGCAAGAAGCAAGGATGCTGAGGCAGAGGGCAGGACTGATAGTAACCACTGTGTCTGGTCTGCTCATACTGGTCATTACATTTTAAAATGCTCCTTATGATCAGTAAATAGCAATCTGAATGCCTGCCCTTCTACCCCCAGCAACCCTCCAGGATTTTGTGGACTGCCCCCCACCCCTGCCCCATATCCAGCCACTAAAGGGTTGATACTTGGCTCAGTTGGGGTGGAGAGCCTTGCAGGTTGTTAAATGTTTTGCATATCACTCCTGGAGAAAACTTTGCAACAGAGACAAACCTCTTGTACCCCACATTTTGCAAGACCCTTCTGCTCCCTGGCTGTTTCCCATCATCACGATGCTGCTTTAGTACCTGGTCAGGGGGCATTTCCTGCATTTCCTTGGGACAAGGCAGGGAGAATGACAGAGGAAGCTTTCAGGACTGTCATTTACAAGGATGCTCTCTGCTAGTCCCAGAGCTGTGGCTAGAGGTGCTATCCTTCAAGGGAGAGAAACTTCCTGCATCTTCTGAACCAGGATCCTGGAATGGGGTGGGAGGTGATGTTTGCCCTCTTCCTGTGTACTCCCTTTAGAAAACACATGACTTTATCTTGTCGCCTCGGATCTCATCACTCTTCAAGAAAGCCACTGGTCAACAAGTAGTTTCTGGGGGCACACCAAGCATCAGAGCCCTGGCCAGCTTTCAGAAATAGGGGTGAGGGCAGTTTTTATACACATCATAAACAGGAAAATGAATCTCCAAGATCTTCCCTTGTAAAGAGATCCTTTGGGACTTACAAAAGCAGATCACATTAAGACATTTTGGCTGCTTTCCAAAGCAACATGGACTTAACCAGACAATTTCATTGAAAAATATTTTGAATATTGCAAAACAATCTGGCCTTGGGTGACACTGCTTCCAGTAATAAAAGACATTATTTCAGAGACCTTTCCCTGGAAATTAAAACCACAATGAGATATCACCTCACAACAATTAGAATGGCCAGCTGTCATCAACAAGACAAAAGATAACAAACACTGGTGAGGATGTGGAGAAAAGGGAACCCTTGTGCACTGCTGGTGAGAATGTAAATTGGATATGGAGGTTCCTTAAAAAATAAAAAATAGAACTACCATATGATCTAGCAATCCCGCTTCTGGGTATATCTCCAAAGGAAATAAAATCATTATCCTGAAGAAGTATCTTCTTCTTGAATCCCCATGTTCACTGCAGCATTATTTGCAATAGCCAAGACATGGAAACAACCCAAGTGTCCATCTATAGATGAATGGGTAAAGAAAATGTAGTACACACATATAATGGAATATTATTCAGCCATAAAAAGGAAGGAACTCCCGCTATTTGCCATAACCTGGACATAACTTGAGGGTATTATGCTAAGTGAAGTAAGTCAAATGAAGAAAGACAAATACTGTGTGATGTCACTTATATGTGGAATCTAAAAAAAAACCCCAGCTCATAGAAACAGATCAGATTTGTGGTTGCCAGAGGTGGGGTTGGAGGGGTGGGTGGTGGGGGAATTGGGAGAAGGGGGTCAAAAGGTACAAACCCCCACGTTTAAGATAAATAAAATCTGGGGATGTAAGGTACAGTATGGTGACCGTAGTTAACAATACTGTATGGTATATTTGACAGCTGCTAAGAACTGCTAAGGGAGTAAATCTTAAAGTTCTCATCACAAGGAAAAAACTTTGTGACACTGTGAGGTGATGGATGTTGATCAGACTTATTATAGTAAACATTTTGCAATATATGCATGTATCAAATCATTATGTTGGATACCTTAAACTTATGCAATGTTATTTTTTTTAACGTTTATTTATTTTTGAGACAGAGAGAGACAGAGCATGAACAGGGGAGGGTCAGAGAGAGAGGGAGACTCAGAATCTGAAACAGGCTCCAGGCTCTGAGCTGTCAGCACACAGCCCGACGCGGGGCTCGAACTCACGGACCGTGAGATCATGACCTGAGCCGAAGTCGGACGCTCAACCAACCAAGCCACCCAGGCGCCCCAAACTTATGCAATGTTCTATGTCAGAAAGAGACATTTTGCACCAATATGAATGGAATGCCATGACGTACAGTAGTATATTCCTATTATAGTAAATATTTTTTAATAGTGATAATAATACACAGCATTTACTATGTGCAAAGGTACTGTTCTAAGCAGTGTATATATGACTCCTTTAATCTTTACCATCTCCTTATGAGGAGGAGATGCTCTTATCCTCTTCATTATACAATGAGGAAACAAGTTCAGAGAGGTTGGGTAACTTGCCCCAGATCACACAGCTAATATGTGATGGAGCACTGCTAGCTGTTCTATTGTTCCCAGCTGTCCCCACCCAGGACTAACTGTTTTTAAGAATGCAAGGGACTGGGTGAACAGGGTGATGCCTCCAGTAGAAGGTCTGGTGCTCACTGCCGGCCACCATCACTGCCACTGGCCCTGGCCACCCTCTTCTTTAAGAACCCCACTGAGGGGGGTTTTCCCTCCTTAGAACTTCAGACTTGAAAATTGTTTTTGAATCACCATAGAAAGCACCCTGGCTGACTCATGGCGTTTTGTTTTGTTTTGTTTTTATCCTCAAAATAAAACAGTTGTGTAGCCTTAAGTATTGAAAACACCATTTTACTTTTGGGGCTGCTGCTGGAAGAATGTGTGCACAGTCGCGGTGAGTCAGTCCAGTCAGTCCGGTCTGGCTTGCACCGGCTGACCAGAGACTTGAGTCTGTCCTGGGTCCTGCCTGCACACACGTTCCGATCTACTGAAAGTCATCTCTTTCCCTCAACACCCAGGGCCTCTGCTGGTGCAAGAGCCTCTTTCTTTCCAGAAGTCCCTGCCACATGCATCCACATCCCGGTCAAGCTTCTCATCTCCTTCTTTCACCACCTCTTTCAAATGTCATTCGAAGCCCTCTCCCTGCCTTTTTGAGCCCAGCGCTCTGTGAGTTTGGGTCCCTTGCTGAGCTCAGTTCCACACGCAGATGTGAGTTTCCTCACGCTGTGGACTGAATGCTCAGAGAGAAAATGAGGACAAGTTCTTGCCTGGAGAGGCTCCCCTGAGGGACCCTCTGGGGAAGAACTAAGAGACAGGGAATGGCAGATGGGGGGCAGTCCAGCAGCGCTCACTTCAAACCCGCCTGGGCTTACAGTGCACCCTCTGAGTCTACATAAAGGCTGAGTGTGGGCTGGGAGTAGGCATGTGAAAGCAAACGGTGTTTTCCTTCATTTGGATATGATTTTGTTTGGGCTTCTCCTAGTCTAGGGGCCAGGGAATAAAAATTGATAAACCGGCACATTTCCTCCTTTGGGTGCAGCAGGTGATGGCAGGTTATGCCAGGCCTGAAGCTATTTGGGGAGACACTAGCCAGGGCCATGTGGTGGCTCCTGACGAGCATGATGGGGAGGGGACAGATTTTTATCCATCTCGTAGCCTAAGTGGTTAGACTAGTCTGGGCACGGGGTAGATGTGTCCTATAAATGTTAGCTACAAGTAATGAAATGAAGGCAGGTGCCACTCATTATTATTAAAAATAAAGAGGTCAACGGCACTCCCTCAGATGCGCAGACTGGCTGCCAAGGCCAGCATCGTCTTGAAAGAGTATTAGCGGGTGCAACTCAACGTGTGTGTGCGCGCGTGCACGCGTGCGCGTGTGAGATTCATTGCAAATAACACTCGCCATTTACAACATTCTGGGGGTCCTTCCTGAGCACTAGAACCAGAGCGGGCACCTGGATGGCCCTACCTAAAGGCTAGCAGTCTCACTCCCTACCCGTACTGATTCCCAATGACTTGCGGTTCCATCAAGCAATGTTAGTTTGTGCCAACTTTGTACAAATTACATAAACGATGCAAAATTTGTCCTTAATCTTTACGTAGTTTTTTGTCACCGTCTCCTACTGATGGTCCTGTTAACCTTGTATCACCTTCTGCTTGAGGCCTGAGGTGAGGAAGAGGAGCTTGGGGCACTTACCACGGTGCAGCAGAGGGGCCAGAACCACCAGAGGAGAGCCAGGGCCAGGAGCAGGAACAGGATCAGCAGGGCAATTGCCAGGATGGAGCCATCCGACTGTGGGACCAAGAAAGAGCGTGGTCAGCAGCGGGTCGGCCATGTGGGCAGCCAGAGACACCTGTACCCTCTCCCTCCCCGCATTCCCATCACTGATATGCAGACTTAAGGCCCAGAGAAGAGCACAGTTTGCCAAAAAAAAAAAAAAAAAAAAAAACAAAACCACAGAAGGTTGAAACTCTGCCGAACATTCTGGGCAACACACTCCGCATAGCCAATTCTCTCGAGAAATGGCCCTTCATTTGTCTTTTCAGAAGGCCCTGCTCGTCTCTGAACACACATATATATATATTATATATATGTTTGTTTATTTTGATATATATATCAAAATATATCTATATATCTATATCTATATCTATATCTATATCTATATCTATATCTACATCTATAATATAAAGTTTGTTTATTTTGAGAGAGACAGAGAGAGTGAGAGGGGAGGGGCAGAGAGAGGGAGAGAGAAGATCCCAAGCAGGCTACGCACTGTCAGCACAGAGCCCGACACGGGGCTCGATCCCACCAATGGTGAGATCATGACCTGAGCCGAAATCAAGAGTCGGAGGCTCTGACGCTCAACTGACTGAGCCACTCAGGCGCCCCCTCTAGGAACAGCATTCTGAAGGACCAATCCTGCAAAAGCCAGGGCGGGCGGTTGCCCACATAACCAGGCATGGAGGTGACCGACGACTGCCTTTGCCTCTGGCCCATCACCCTCTGCCTGGTGACATCCTCCTACTCCCTGGGTCTGCTGTTCCTGCTACCACCTGCCTTGCACTGTGGACAGTTCTGCTCAGGATTCAGCCTGCTGCCCCCATCCCGTTCCCAGGGATGCCCAGAACTGATCCGGGAGGCGAAGTCTAGAGCCAGCTGATAGGATGAAATAAAGGGCAGATGGATTCCAGGCACGGGGTGTGGAGCGGCTGAAAGAGAACCCGGGAGGCAAGGGGAGTGGTGGCTGAGTCAAGGCTGCTGTCAGATCAAGTGGCTGTCAAGTTCCGGCCAGGGGGCAAGGCAGGCACCAAAGACAAATTTTACCCACTTCAAAACGTGCCTAGGCCGGTCCTGCAAATAGACATGGTTGTTACTGACACGGTTGTTACTGCAAATAGACACAGTTGTGTCTGAGATGGTGTTACCTTTTAGCAGAGATCCCACTCGGTGTCAGTATTCTAGGGCTGCTGGTTCAGGGAAGCAGATTTAAGCCCCCTCCACCCGCCCTCACCTCCAGCTGGCGGGAGTGGAAATGGGCACAACTTTTGAGGGTGAGGGTGGGGGAGGGCAAGCTGAGGAGCAAATTGTCATAGGTATTAGTTGTCATGGTACTCTTTCTGAGTAAAGCTGGAAATTCCACGTTTAGTTCCCCAAAATAATCAGGTATGTTTGCACAGATGATGACAACTGATCATAAGCATCACCATGGAAAACAACCTAAATGTTGTTTTGAATTAGGGAATGGCTAACAATACATTACAGAACTCCCATGCAACCAATTACTGTATAGACATTGTTTTCTGTTTTCAAATAATAGTTAAATGACATGTGAAACCATTTCTGACATAAGTGGATTTATGTATAAATTAGTGAGAGAGAAAGACTGAGGGATATTATTAATAGTAGTTTTGCAGGCAGTGGGTTTATGATAATTTTCTTTTTTAAAAAATCGTTTTCTTTTTTAAAAAAATATTTTTTTTATGTTCATTATTTTTGAGGGGGATGGAAGGGCAGAGAGAGAGAGGGAAACACAGAATCTGAAGCCAGTTCCAGGCTCTGAGCCATCAGCAGAGCCTGACTTGGAGCTCGAACTCCCGAACTGTGAGATCATGACCTGAGCTGAAGTCGGATGCTTAACCAACTGAGCCTTCCAGGTGTCCCAATCGTTTTCTTTTTCTTTTTAAAAAAAAATTTTTTTTAACGTTTATTTATTTTTGAGACAGAGAGAGACAGAGCATGAATGGGGGAGGGTCAGAGAGAGAGGGAGACACAGAATTCGAAACAGGCTCCAGGCTCTGAGCGGTCAGCACAGAGCCCGACGCGGGGCTTGAACGCACGGACCGCGAGATCATGACCTGAGCTGAAGTCGGACGCTTAACCGACTGCGCCACCCAGGCGCCCCTCGTTTTCTTTTTTTTAAACAACTTGTAGTAAGAAGATAAACTACTGAAGTTGTTCTTTAAAAATCTGTACTTGGGGCTCCAGGTGGATGCTTTGGTGCCCAAGCTCACTGGTCCAGAGGTTCTTACCCAGGGCCAGTGGACCTATGGGGTACACAGAGGGGCTCAAGGGGATGGAAGCTTGTGACCCTCTCGAAATTACACTCATGATCTTCAGGGCCTGTGTTTTCAGGGGGAGACTGCTCACAGCATGACCAGATTCTCCAAGCTGCCCCCCACCCCCTAGCCCCGTTTATGAGGAGCGAGGTTGGGTGGCCTATTCAGGGCAGCACAGCAGGTTAATGGCAGAGTTGGGACTTGACTCACTCCCACTCTGAGCGCTTGGCGGGGGCTACTGGAAGCCGTTTAAAGGTAGCTCTTACTCCCTGGAATGTCTTTGACCAAAAAGCCAGGGAACTAAACACCCTGGCCCTGCCCAGCCAAGGCTTGGGAATGCCAGATGGCCCCTGAGGGAGGTGCACCCTCGCAGGTGCAGGTGTAGGGCTGGGCAGTGGGTGGGGAGAGAGCACAGGGGCCGGAGGAGGGACATGGCCATGGTAGGGAGGATGCTGCTGGACCCACAACACTTATGCATGAGCTGTGGTAGAGGGATGCTCTTGGCGAGACGCATGTGTGTTTCCCAAACTTACTGTTAGTCAAGAACAACTCTCGTAACCTCTCAGTCTCTATGTTCCACACCCATAAATGGAGATACTAACCCTCAGCTGCCCCACTGCACTGACGGGAAGACAGATGAGCTACCTCAGGGGCCAGTAGACACAGCCGCACAGCTGGCATGAAGGCTATCATGTCAAACACTGCACTGTACCTCGCCCTCCCTCCAGTTCCTCAGAACAGCAAACATGGTGGGCGTTTCAGATCATAAATCTGCTTGCACTTAGAATAATAAATAGTTTTGGCTACTGAAAGTCTCATAAAACAGCAGTCTTTTGGTATTGAGTTATAATTTAGCAAAGACTGCATTTATTCACATTATACTCAATCTCTCCACCCTCCTGATTTTCTTTTCATTTTACATAGAAGAACCGAAGCAGAAAAGCTCAGATACTGTGGGGAAATGTTTATACTTCCTTCTGGAAGAAGGAGAAGGTTTCCTGTGAAGCAGGGAGGGAGAAAGACCTGGCCCACCAGGAAAGAGAGGAGGCTTCCATACTGGGGGAAGACTTCCTGGATTGAGACCAGGAAGCCACCTATGTTTGGCTTCCCTCCAGCCAGGCTTGGTCTGCCCCTTACCAGGCACAGCTCTCCCCGGCTGTGGAGGAGCACAGCTGTGGGGCTCCGGAGGGGGCAAGGTGCAGGGGGGTGGGGAGTGAGCATGCACAGGGCCAGGAGCTCCTGGAGGCACTTTGTCCTGCTCTGGAGACAGGCCCAGAAGCAGCCCCCAAATGCACCGCCTGCTTTTCAAGATCTTCCCGCAACCATTACATATATACCGAGTGCAAAAGGGTCACCATCAAACTTAGGGTATGAATTTTTGATAAACCTAGACCTGGAGCCAATGTTTTCCTGGGATATAGCATGCACATGTAACCTCAGAGTTCCTTCGCATATTCATTCAGCAAACGTTTATTGAGGACCTGTTCTGTGCCCACTGAGCAGACCTCAGAGATGCAGGATTGATTAGACAGAACCAAGGCGCTCATAGTCTGCTGAAGGAGTTGTAGAAACAGTGAACCGCATGCCGGGGACTGGGTGTTATTCAACAGCTGTACACTGAGCACCTTTCATGTGTCAGGCAGTGAACGATATAGACAGTCCCTATTCTTATAGAATTTACATTTTGGGGACACCTGGGTGGTTCAGTTGATTAAGCATCCAACTCTTGATTTTGGCTCAGGTCATGATCTTACGGTTCATCTGCTCTGTGCCCATAGTGTGGAGCCTGCTTGGGATTCTCTCTCTCCCTTTCTATGACCTTCCCCTGCTCTCTCTCTCTCTCAAAATAAATAAATAACCATTAAAAAAAAAAAGAATTTACATTCTTGTGGAATGATGATGATGAGGATAATTATTATAAGCACAGGTAATATTTACCGAGTACTTACTATGTGTCAGGGACTAACTGTATGTACTAACATGCTTTCTGTATGTTACCTCACTTAATTCTCATTAACAACCAAATGAATTTAATAATATTATTTCTCACATCCTATAGATAGAAATACTAAGGCGAGGACAGGTAAAGAAACTTCGCTATGTCACAGGAAGAGAGCGGTATTGAACCTGGGATGTTTGGTTCCACACTTCACAGGTGTAACCAGCAGTCTATTGCTTCCAGCAAGTGCTAAGAACCGAGTGCTTGGGAGGTGGCACTGAGCTCTGGGCCTGCAGGGTGGAGGAGAAGCTGGCATTCCTGCAGAGAAGGGCATTGGGTAGGAGTGGAAGGGAAGTGGGGACGTCACTGTGAGAGGCAGTGCAAGCTGAGCAGAGGAGCATGGCTTCTATTCGGAGCCAAGGGGACTCCGGTGCACCGTTATTGGATTTGTTTCTTGGGAAGCAAGTGCTTTTGACGTTCTAGAGTATGGCCTCAAGGAGGGAGAGATTGGGGGTCAAAGGCCCAGGTGGAGGCCTGCCTCAATGCTGTCCGGTTCTTTCAGGATGACACTTTACAGGGTCACCCTTCGGAAACATTTACATTTTCATGGACAAGTTTGGCCCTGATTTTACTAACAATGGCTGACCATTATTGTGTGCTGCCTGTGTTGCTGGTGCTGTGTAAAGCGTATGTATGTATTATCTCATTTAATTAAATGCACCTTGTGAAAGCAGTCTTGTAGGAATTGTTACTCCCTTTTTGCAGGTAAGGAAAATGGAAACTCAGCGAAGACCTTA